TTAGCTCTGTTGGTGGTTTCTCTTGCAGTGCAGAAGCTTTTTAATAAGATGAGATCCCAGTTGTTGATTCTTTGTGCTAGTTTCCGTGCTACTGAGGTTTTGTTCATAGTCTTTTCCTATGCCAATGTAGGAAGCTATGGTTTATGTTTGGCTTAAAACCTATTTGAAAGCAGTTTAGCTCAGTAGTTCCTTCGCCTTGAAATCACAAGGTCCTGAGTTTGATCTCCGATACCAAAAAAAAAAAAGTAAAGCATAGTGAATTGACTAGCCAGAGTTTATAAATCTATGGAGTATCCTACTAAAATTATAATACTGGCAGTAATACAACTCAAAAGCTTTTTAGAGGTTGCAAAACAATTGAAGGGGGAAGACTTGCAGGCTTGCTTGTAAAATTTAATTTCTTTAGTTTTAAAGTCACAGAATTTGAACTGCCCACAAATTCCTCTCCTTTTTAGTGTCTTGCCCTTCTTGACACATAAAAAGTGATGTCCTAAAAATAAATGACACATGGGCCGGGGATTTAGCTCAGTGGCACCCTGTCAGCCTCGAAAGTTCAAGGTCCTGAGTTTGATCCCAGGTACCAAAAATAAAATAACATAACATCAAATAAATGACACGTGATCAGAGCTTAAATTCAGCAGGCTTAGGTAGAGTTGTTGTAGTCTGGTTGGTAATAACTTCAAAGAAAAAGGCCTGGAGTTACACCTCAAGGGGCAGGTGTTGAACTGTGATCTCTTTGAAACTCATCAGTGGCTAGGAAGGCAGATGCTTCACTTTGCTTAGGAATGGAAAAGAGCTGGTTGCATGTTTACTGTGGTATTCTGAAGTGGTCTGGGACAATATTCTACTGAGAACCAAGTTTCTAGGGACCAATCCACAATAAGGCTGGACCCTTTTTTATATGTCATTGTCTTGTCTTTAAACCTTTTAATACAATTCATAAGTGGACATCTTTTCTGTATTCTCAGCTCTATTGCTCTTTTAACTTCATCCATATGCCTAGCTCCTTCAAAAAATTTTCCTTTCTACCAGGTATAGTGTGGCACATGTCTGAAATTCAGCACTCTGGGAGGCTGAGGCAGGGAGGATCACAAGTTTGATCCCAGCCTTTGCAATTAGTGAGAACTTGTCTCAAAATAAAAATGAAAGGGCTGGGGATTTAGCTCAGTGGTTCCACCACCTGCCTTACAACCTGAGTTTGATCTCTGGTACCAAAAAAAGAAAAAAGGGCTAAGGATGTAATTCAATGTGAAGGCTCTGGGTTTAATCCCCAGTAACACACACACACACACACACACACACACACACACACACACATACAAACAAAATTCCTTTTTTTTTTTTACAAAATTCCTTTCTATATTTATGTCACAATTTTTAAATAACAAACAAAAAAAGCATGACAATTCCCTCATAAAGATTCTTTAGTATTCATAGAAACCACTTTATATTGTTATTTTAGCCTACTTTATATTATTTTAACCCAGGTCCTTGCATATGCTAGGCTATTGCTCTACCACTAAGCTACACCACCAGCCCTATTATGAGACATTTTAAATGAGTATTGTTGCTGGACATCACATGAGTGTAGAAGGCAGAAATGAATCCCATTTGGCAACTGGCACTGGTGTTTAAATAAGGCAAGTTATCCCATGTGCTGGAAATTTATCATCTTTTTAGGAAGGACAGATTCCATCACTTTTATCAAGAAGTGGTTAGGGAAAGCATATATGGTATGGTTTCAGGAATGAGAGGAAAATCTCCATTCTCCACTCCAACCCTATCTCCAAATAGCTCCTTCTGTTCCTTCTGGGATGAGTAGCCAACCAGGATTGAAAACTCAGTAACAATAATGAATTAAAGGGATGGAGTTTAGGAAAGGAAGATGCTTCTTTTGTAAGGAGGAAAAAGCAGAAGACAGCTGTCTTGGGCTCTGGAAAGGTGAATACCTGCAGGGCTTTTTTCCCAGCTTCTTTTATTAGGTTTTAGGGATGCTTCCTCCTAGGTGAGTACCTGGAACTTGTCACAACTTGATTAGTTGTTTGGGCTGTCTTTGGATAGTTCCCAGGCCACAAGACCCTAAACTAGGCACCATTGTCCCTGTGCACATTCCTTTTGGTGGGTCTTGTTTGACTTCTTGCTTCTTTGTCCTTGTTAGGGGCTTTATCTCTTGAATTTATAGGTTGTTAGGAAGAGCCTTATAGAAAGTCAGCTTAGAGTTAGTGATTTAAGTAAGGGGATGTGTGTATATCTAGTGCAGTAATATAGTGACCCTAGAATGAAGAAGATACATACATATATATATATATATGCATGCATAGGTGTGAGATATACTATACTAAATAAGTTTTCTTTTTAGTTAGGTAGCCACCTCTTGTCTCCTCTGCATTTTACTGTAGGTAGGGAAAGGGCGGCTATCTTGGTTTCCACTGTACCTGGCTTCCTCTGGTGCTCTGCCTGTCAGTTCTCCCTCTGCTCCTTTGATATAAGTGCTTAGCCATTTGTGCTATCTTGTGCCTTTCTATATATGCCCTTGTCTTTTTTTTTTTGGTACTGGGGATTGAACTCGGGTCCTTGCGCTTGCTGCGCAGCAGGCAGCAAAACCACTGAGCTAAATCCCTGGCCCCCTTATCTTTTTAATTATTCAGTAAAGTTTTAACTCTTTCCAGTCAGAATTAGCCAGAAAACTAATGAGGCCCTTCTTTGATTCCTTCCCTGCCTACAGACCCTTTTCCCTACACTTTTCTCCATTCTGCTCAGGGATGCTGAAAAATTTTCAGCAGAGGTGTATGGCTTTGGCCTAATTCTACCTACTAAAAACAAAAAATCCCTGGAAGTATAACATCATTTTAAGCCTTGCATTATTAATCATTTATACTTAATTAGCAGACAGGAAAAGGAGCATGGAGTCAAGAAGTCAAAAGAAGAAAGAAGGAGCACAGATTTACTAGGCCTATTCTACAATTTTACCTAGTGCAGTTTTACTTGCCAGGGCTGGTGTCTGAGAGATTCTCCTCTCCTACAATTCCATATTTTACTTACATAATAGTTTAATCTTTCCATAGCAAGAAAAAAGTAATTTCTTTTTTTCATTAAGCTTATTTGTACATTTTAAGTATACAATACAGTTACATTCATCATTGGAATCTTGTACCTTTTTTTTTTCATTTTTTTCCCCTTAAATTCTTTTATTGGTACTTTTTAAAAATTATTATTTTTTTTATTATTATTATTAAAAAAATTTTTTTTTTATTGGTACATTTTAGGTATACAATACATTTACATTTACTACTGGGAACTTGTACCTTTATATGATGTTATCTTGGTTCTTCTTTTTTCCCCATTCCCCTACCCTCCCTTCATGCCCTCCACCCTTCCATATTTACAAGGACTTTGTTTCCATTTTTTTCCTTTTCTCATATTTTTCTTTTCCCTTCTTTCCTTTCTCCTACCCCTCCCACTTTCCCTACTCCTTTAGGTCTTTTCTTCCTATTTCACATTATCAATTATACATTTTGATCCTTATTTACACTTTTGGTTTTTCACACCGGAGAAACTATTCGGTATCTACATGTATGTCCTACATACTTCACTTAAGAGTTTGGCCTCAATGTGCATCCAATTTAGCTATAAATGTCTAGTTTCTCATTCTTTGTGTCTGAGTAGTACTCCATTTTATTAAAAAACCACATCTTCTTTATCCAAGAAAAAAGTAATTTCTTATAAAATAGGTATTTTGATAAGGGGAAAAGCAAAACTCAAAGTCAAAAAGGAAGAGGCTAATCAAGACACAGATGGGTCAATAATAATGATATATTTTAATAATGTACAGAATAATGAAAAAATCTAAAATGACAGTTATATTGAACTTTTATTGCAACATATTATAACAAAATTAAATGTCCCAAGAATTTTGTTTTGTGTAGTTTTAAAAATCCATGAAAACATAAACCTGTCTCTGAGAAAAGCTTTACATATAAAAAAAAAATGGAGCTATTTGGTTTAAACAGACTTGTTAATATAATCGCTGTCAGGTATTTCTTAGCCTTTCTCAATGCTGAGGTAGTTCAATAAAGAGCTGTCCTTTGTTTCTAAATGGATGCTTCTTCTCTCTGTAAATTTTAACACAATAAAGTAAAATAAGCAGTACTTCACTCACTACTCCTCATTGGTGATGTTACTCAGAAAATAAAAATTTGCCTGAGGGAAAGGAACTGAAGCATAAACATGAACAAAGAAAAAGGATTTATTCAACGTTGTTTATGTCACTGGAGATTTAAAATGCTAGCCTCTGAAAGCACAAACCTCTTATGTTTTTAGATTTGAAGCAGGAAATTCATTCATTCATTTATATTTAAATATAAAACTTTAAGGACAAGTGTATTTGAGTCACCAGAGATTTGTTTCTTCTGTGAGCTCATGAGATCAATCAAGGATTCAAAAAATGTTCAAGACTAACCATCAATTTTTGCTCTAACTCCACTCCATACAGTCTAGGGTATACATTTTACCTGATTAAAAGAAATAACATATACTAACTTTGGATTTGATAAATTATTTGAGGTTCAACATCACTTTACAGTATTTGATTACATGAGATTATTAGGAGCATGAGTTAAAAAACTGAGATTAATTAAAGAGTAGATCTGCAGTTATTTCCATTCAAGGGAAAGAGAAGATGGAGAAGAGCAGAGCAGATTAGTCAAGGATGTGGGCTTTGGAGACAACCTGGGTTTGAATCTTGGCTTTACCATCTACCACTAGTTGTGGGGCCTTGATGAGTCACTTTCACATTCAATTCTGTAGCTTCTGCATCAGCAAAATGGAGATAATAATGCATGAAGTGGTTATAAGGATTAAAAGAGTTAATTATGTAATGAACTTAGCTTAGAGTTAGGCTCACTGTGAGCACTCAATAAAATGTTTCTGTACTCATTTATATTGGATAAGCTAGAAAATGATTTAGTTTAAAAGGGGAGAGTAGAGTTGGTTGCATGTAATGAGACCAAAGGGAATATGGTGAAGGATGCGTATAACTCAAATGGGCTCTTTGCTTTGAAGTTTAGCATCCAGTGACCATCCCCTTGGATTTCCTTGAGCTGAAGATTTAATCTGTCAGGCAACTGGAGCCTGCATTTTATCTCAAAACACCTGCTGGTCCCAGATATGAAAGACCTCTCTTGGGCAGTGATCCCCTTGAAGCTACACTTCACTCACTGTTATATCCCTCAAAACAAATCCAACTTACTATGAATCATGGAGAAACTTTTTCCTTGAAGTGGTCTTGGCAGAGGGCTGAGGGTAAAAAGCAGAGTACAGGGTGAATAATGATTCATATTGCTCACTATACAACAAAATTTAATATAATTCATCATTGGATGTGTCTATTTTTCATCTGCCATTTGTCTAACTTCTTTTCTTTTTCCCATACCACCTCTAAAATGCCTTTCTTTTGCCCCATATAGATCAGCTCTGGCTCTCTGCTTACATTTCTCAACCAAACAAGAAGCTGGGAATTAGACCAATAGCGACCACCATGCATCATGATTTCCTACACTTCCACTTGCCGCTTATCATAGTTACCCAACACAAGCTAATCTCTTCCCTGGAAAATTTGTTTGTAAGAAAAATTTCCACACCTATGCTTAAAGTAAGCAGCAAGTACTGAATAAATGGTAGGTTTTTGTTTTTTTAATCTAGAGCCACTTGAGGATCTGGCAGCAGTTTTTAGTAGAGGAACTCAGGAAAATTGGAAAAAATGAAGCAAGGAGTGAAAAATCTTACATATATTGGGATAGATTTGGCATTAACCCCTTCAGAAATTTTTTTTATTGTTTGAAGGCTTTTTTTCCCCGTACCAGGGATCAAACTCAGGACTTTGTGCTTACAAGGGAGGCGCGGTGCTGCTGAGCTAAATCCCCGGTCCTTGAAGGCTTTTAAGAGCAAAGGAAAGGAAGGAGAAAGGCCATAAGGAATTTAACAAAAATACATTATTAAAGGGCTGGGGATTTAGCTCAGTGGTTTCAACGCCTGCTGCGCAAGCTCAAGGACCCAAGTTCCATCCCCGGAACCAAAAAAAAAAAAAAAAAAAAAATCATTAAAGGAAACTATAACAATGAGCTAGTATTTTATTCTTCAGATTTTTGACAAAAAATCCTTGGCAGAGGAGGCATCAATACCAACACTGTGATATTAACGCTTATTTGGAGTCTTTTTTTTTTTTTTTTTTTTGGTGCTAGGGATTGAACCCAGGGGCTCATGCATGCTAAGCATGTACTCTTCCACTGAGCTACATCCCCAGCCCTGAAATCTGTATTTTTTCTTTTTTTTTTTGGAAACCTTGTCTGTCAAACAAAAAAACAAAAAACCAAAAATAAATAAATAAATAAACAAACAAAAAGTGGTTCTATACTTGTTTATCAAGACTTAAGGAGACTTTTTGGATATTCTGCCATGCCTCAAAAGCTCATTAGATTTTTCATTAAACCTGTAAATTTAAATCAAGAGCCACCCTCCCCTATATATGCTATCTAGGTACTTAAAGATTTTGACAGGAAAAAAAACATGTTGGAGGTAATTAAACAGAGGGAGGTAGATTTGTGCTGGCCTTGCTTATATCTGTAAAAAGAAAGAGGATGCCTTGTTTCTTCTGTGGCTTCTTATAGGATTAGCTTTACCTGATGTTGACTGCCTTACATTTCTAGGTAGAGAGACAAACCAGGAGCTTCCTCAACCAGCAAACTGTCTGCTCAGGTTCTGCTTGGGACTACACTCTCTGGACTCGGAACAGAGCCTGGGAGGCAAGGATGCGCAGAGAGGGCTCAGGGTCATGCAGCAGATCTTTCAGATCTAAGTAGTAAGAAAACTGAGTTGTAGGTGAAAGGCCCTGAGATTTCTGGAAATGAGCACTTTTCTAGACACCAAAAGGCCAAAATAGCAACTTTTTCTAAGACTACTGTCCAAAAGTTTGTTCGTGGGTGGCATGATTTTTATTTTGATCTATAAAACCTACCAGTTTCTGAGTTGCTAAATATTTCACTCCTTTGCAACAATCACATGCTACATGGTTTACCTAAAGTCAAATTATCTGGCTGGGGTGGTGCAGCACACCTGTAATCCCAGCACTCTGGAGGCTAAGGCAGGAAGATTGCTGCAAATTCAAGGCCAGCCTGAACTATATAACAAGACCCTGTCTCAAAAAATATAAAGGCAAATCATCTGGATCTGTCAACCCATCTAATGTCAACGTCCAAATTCTTGTGTTTGTCCTAGATGTAATTCTTTAATCATTATTTCTTTTTAATATTTAAAAAATTTTTAGTTTTTATGTTTTCAAGGCATACATGTTCATTGTATAGAAAATTTAGACAATACATGTAAGCACTAGAAGAAAATAAAAGTCACCCATAAGCCAGGCATGATGGCACTTTTCTGTAATCCCAGCACTGTGGGAGGCTGAGGCAGGAGTATCGCAAGTTTGAGCCCAGCCTGGGTAACCTGGTGACTAGGGATGTAGCTCAGTGCAAAGGCCCTGAGGTCAATCCCTAGTATTGCCAAAAACCAAAACCAAAACAAAACAAAACAAAAACTCAACCCATAATTCTACCACCTAGTTATTTTGACTATCTCTCTCTCTTTTTTTCTATACATTTATGTATATGTGTATGCTTTTTTTTTTGGTACTGGGGATTGAACTCAGGACCTTGCACTTGTGAGGCAGGTGGCAGAACCACTGAGCTAAATCCCCGGCCCTATGCTTTTATTTTTGTACAAATGGAATCATATCATCCAATAATTGATTGGCTCATTAATAATATCTCATCATTATTTATATGAATCACTTAAAAATTCTTCTATTTTTCGTGGCTATATACAATATGGGCATACTATAATTTATACTATAATTTAACTAATTCCTTATGTTTTATAATCTAGAATACTTTCCATTTTCACTATTCTAACATTCAAATCAATATGCCTGAAACTATTTCTGCTTATTTTCATAAGTTAAATTTCTAGAAATAGCATTGATAAGTCAAAGTATGACTTTTTTTCTGGCTAGTACTGTGGATTGAATTTAGGTCCTTCACACTGAGCTAGTCCCTAGGCCGCTTGCCCTCCCCTCCTCTTTCTCTCTCTCACTTTCTTTTTCTTTCTTTTTTCTCATTTTAGACATGTCTTTTTAAATTGCTCAGGCTAGGCTCATACTTGCAATCCCTTTTGCCTCAACCTCCCAGAGAGAATAGCTTATTTTTGGTTAGTTTGAGACAGTTTTCATTATATAGTTCAGGTTAACCTTGAACTCACCATGTAGACCAGGCTGACCTTGAATTAGAGGTGATCCTCCTGCTTCAGCCTCCCCAGTGCTGAGATTAAAGGGTGCACCATGCCTGGCATGGTTATTTATTTATTTAGCATAGCTTATTTTAATATATACTGCCAAACTTCCCTATTAAAAAGTTGTATCTCAGTTGAGCATGGTGGCATGAACCTGTAATTCCAGTTACTTGAGGGGCTGAGGCAGGAGGATAGCCAGTTTGAGGCTTAGCCTGGACAACTTAGTGAGACTCTGTCTCAAAATAAAACCAAAAAAGAGCTAGAGATGTAGCTCAGTTGTAGAGTATTTGCCTAGAATGTGTGAGGCCCTGGGTTTAATCCTCAGCATGGCAAGAAAAGGTATCAATTTATATTCATACAAGCATGTATATGATAATACCAATTTTCCCTTACCATATCAATGTTGATTAATTGTTGACAGAAAAGCACATATTGGCATTTAATTGTTTTATTTTGCAAACTTCTGATTACTAGTGATACCAACTTTTTTCACCTCTTAGCCATTTGTAATTCCTCTATGAACTGCTTATTCATATTGTTTCTCATTTTTCTTTTGTGACTTTATTGGTTTATTTTAGGGATATTAACCCTTAATCATGTTAAAGCAGAACTTAAAAAGAAAAAACAAGTCTCCCCAACTTTAAGCAGTTCCCCCTCAAACTTCCCTCTTCCCTATGACTTGTTGTTAACTGTTTCTGTAAGGTTTTATGACCCTTTGCTTCTATAAAATCCTGTTTTATTCCACCAAGATATGCTAAATTGCAAAACTGTTCTACTTGATTAACTGCCTTTGTCCTGCTTCTGTAGACTGTCTCATCCACTCACAAGTTTTGTGCCACTAGGAGGACCGACCCCTTTGGCCACATGTATAAAACTAGCACATGTATAAAACTCTTCTTTGTTTGGGGCTCAGCCTTTGGATATGAACACACTGGGCTAGTATGCAGCTAAATAACCTCCTGTTTCACCCATTGGTCTCTCTGGTCTCAAATTCTACAACAATGTTGCATGTATTTTCCTTTGTTGTTTGCTTTTCAGTTTTGTCTGTTTCTTTTTAAAGTTGATTTAAAAAAAAACTTTTTATGGAGACAAATATAGCACTCTTATTTTGTGCATACTTAGAAAGCGTTGTCTCTCTGTTTCTGTCTCTGCCTCTCTCCCTCTCTCTCCCTCTTTCTCTCTCTGTCTCTGTCTGTCTCTCTGTCTCTGTTCCCGCCTCCATTTGTGCTGAAAATTGAACCCAGGATGCTGAACACTAAGCTACATCTCCAGTCCAGTTTTTATTTTGAAACTGGCTCTCGCTAAATTGTCCAGGCAGGACTTGAACTTGAAATCTTCCTGCCTCAGCCTCCCTCAGTACTGGGACTACAGGCATGTAGCACTGTGCCCTGCTAAGCTTCATTGGGGGGGGTGGAGGTTATTCCATTAGGCTAACCCACATGAGATTGCTGATATTTGACAGTTTTTGATCAGCAATTTCATACAGCTTATCCTACAGCGTATGCATATGGCTTTTCATACATACCCTAAAGCTTCCAGATAGTCAACTTTGGAAAAGGAACTTTAATTCCACATGTTTTAGATTAGAAATAATTTTTCCTTTTAATGAAGATAATCAGTTATTAGCATTCTCTCAATAGAATAATTTGCATGGCTTTTTCCTTTCATTGTGCTTCTGCTATCCATGAAGAAATGAGAAATTTTAGGAGAAAAGTGGCATCATCTTTCTTAAATGAGTATTAGCCCCTATCACTGTTATAATGGTTCACTAGCTATAATGGGTTTTTTTTTTTTTTGGTACTGGGGATCGAACTTGGGTCCTTGAGCTTGCCCAGCAGGCAGCGAAACCATGGAGCTAAATTCCCGGCCCTATAATGGTTTCATTTTAAAAGGAGTAAGTTGTTTAAGATTTTAATTTGATTTTCAAAGTAATAATTCTGGATTGTGGGACTTAGTATTTCATAGCCTTTTTTTTTCAGTATTGGGGACTGAATTTAGGGCCTTCACACTCAGCTACACTCCAATCCTTCTTATTTATTTATTTTGAAAGAGTCTTACTAAATCACCAGCTTTTCCAGGCCGGGCTTATACATGAGATCCTCTTGCCTCAGCTTCCCAGAGTTCTCGGTTTGTAGGCATGCATTACCATGCCCAGTTTCATGGCATTTTCTAATTGTAGAACTACTTCTTAAATGAGAATAAATAATTCTTGGATGCTAAATCTCTAGGACTGTACAATTATAGAAAATTTTCACTTGCTAGCAATTCTGAAAACCACTTACATGATGGTTGCCTTATATGAATAATAAAACATCTCTATTACCAACTCCTAATTTACCTTACAGGAGAACTGCCTAAAGAAAATAGTGGGCTGCAGCCATCACTGTGGTACTTGTGAGGTATTTTCAGTTTGCTCCTACGGATGGTGGTGCATGCCTAAAATCCCAGCACTCTGGGAGACTGAGGCAAGAGGATCCTGAGTTCAAGCCCTGCATGGCAATTCAGCAATTTAAGGAGACCTTGTCTCAAAATAAAAAATAAAAAAAAGAGCTGGAGATGCAGCAAGGTTCAAGAGATGACTTATTTCCTGACAGAAAGGTTTAGGAGCTGTTCTCAAGACATTCATTAAAGCTGATTTCAGAAAAAATAAGGTTATGACCTTTCCTAAGGAGGACACTGAACTGGGATGAGACTGTCATTTAGCTGAAGTCACCAGTGATTTTGAGTTTCAACTCTGCTACAGGGCCTGCCTATAGTCACTATCTCAGGTACCTTCCAAAATATGGATACATCACAAATCCAAGGTGTAGTATAACTTACCATCCTGTATCCAGTCAGTCCCCTTCATCCTGGCCTCACTGCAATCCATGTACTTTGATAAGAGACCTAAATACAGGATGAAGTCAGTGAGTATGTGATCTCGCTTCTCTTGGAAATTACAACCTGTTTTTAATCTTCTTTTTTTTTTGTTACCAAGGATCGAACTCGGGACCTTGTGCTTGCGAGGCAGGTGGCAGAAGCATTGAGCTAAATCCCTGGCCCTCCTGTTTTTAATCTTTAAAAAATCTAAGCAATTGGTAAAATTGGCCCTTTGAAAATTAGGCAGATTCCAAAAATGACTTCTAAGTGCATGATAGTTACCTACAGATAACATAGCCCATTTCTCCTAGAAGTGTTTTCAAAGACATCTTCATAAAGGATAGAGTTACTCAAGAAAAGGATTTGGGAAAGTACAGGATAAAAATGTAGAGATAAAAGGATTTTCTTTGTACCTACAAATAAGACTGCTGTTCTTCTGATGGAAAGTTTTGCATTCTTGGAGTACATCAATGTTTGGACAAGGATGTCAATTTTACCCTTGCATTTTTTTCCCTAAGTGGGGAAAGAATAAGAGTACAAAGCAGTGAAGTGCCAACACTGTTCTGATTAGCCTAACTGTAGTTTCCAGGGTTTGGGAGGACATCAGATACCGAGTATAGTAGTGCTTGAAATAACTACATTGAATGCTACCAATGAATATTATGCCACAATCATAAGCTCCTATACAAAAATAAATCCTCTGAATACCCCTTGTCCATAACCACTCATGCTGTATATCATATTTGTGACACTTTCAAAGCTATCCCAGCTTCTGGAAATTGAACTTGGGGCTTTTGCACTGAGCTACATCCCCAGCCCTTTTCAAATTTTTATTTTGAGATAGGATCTTGATAGTTGCCCAGGCTGGGCTCAAACATGAGATCCTCCTGCCGCAGTCTCCCAGAGTGCTGTGATTACAGTCATGCCCCATCATGCCCAACTCTAAGCTACATCTTGAGCTTTTCTTCCCTATGAGCTCTTCCCTAACTACTCACTTGCCTGACCTAACCTTGCTCTGAATATTTTACAGGTATTTCTCTCTTGGTACATCTTATTTTTCACTTTAAGTTTCAATTTAATTTTCCAGAGGTTTTATCTTCCTTACTAGCTTGCAATATCCCAACTGAAAGTTTAAAATCTTGGGCTCCTCATGCATGTTGTAGATTGGACATGTTATGCTTATTGGGTGAATGAACGCACCTCTCAATGGATATCTTACAAAGTCACACACCTCCTACATAGGATGGGGAGAACAGCAATTTGTTCTCATAATGCTTATAGTTTAACACAGAAATCTGTAGTCTTATCCATTGAGAACACTGAATTTCCTATTGAAAATATTGTCATTAGTGTATCAGCTATAGGTTTGCTTATAGGAGGTCTGAGAAATAATCCCTAGTGGAAAACCTGACACAAGGGCACTGTGGGGGTTCCTAGGCCTAGAAATTTGGACAGATACCACCACTCTGGGTCCAAAACAGGCTGGACATATGGAAGGCTCCTGGGAATAGTCAGTCCCAGGGACTTCATAATAAGATCTAGGTGATTCTATGGTCAGTTTCCAAAAAAAATGGACGGACCTCCTGAGGCTCAAGCTTGTCCCTGTGCATGGCCTCACAGCATAGCAACCTGTGCTTGGGGGCTCATTAAATATGTTGGGATGGAACGTAAGGTAGTCTACTATATCAAGGAAAGGACTAGAGATATGTGTAAAGGCAATGCATAACTCCATTTCAATTCACCTCACCAGGAATTTTTAAAGCAGTTTCTATCAGCCTGGCCTTATAGCCTCTGACCCATGTTAGTGGGCTCCCAAGAGTTCAAAAGTCTTTTTTGTGAGGAAGAGTAGGAATAAAGAGTGAATCTGTGACTCAGTTGGGAGGGAACTACAGGAAAATAGATCCACAGTAAAAAAAAAAAAAAAAAGATTATAGATACCAAATTATAATGTGAAAGGGGATGAACAATGTTTCCTGTACCCCATGTTCTTCAATTAAGAACCACATCAGAAAAAAATAAGTATGTCAGCCTGTCAAAGAGTTTTTAGAAAGCCATTATTTCTCACATACAAAGAATTTGCAGATTGTTCTAACTTCAACAGGTTTGAGGTAGAAGGGGTCTTTGCCATATACTTCTTGGGGCAGCTTCCACTTCAGGAATTTGGAACACATTTTTAGGACTGGCTTGCTCTCCTGTGAAAAAGATGATCATAGATCAGCATTTTCAATTTTTTTTTTTTTTTTTTTTTGGTTCTGGGGATTGAACTTGGGACCTTGCGCTTGCGAGGCAGGCGGTGGAACCACTGAGCTAAATCCCTGGCCCCAATTTTCAAAAATTTTTAACTGAGGTAACCTTTCTTCAATAAAACTGATGTCAAATTCTAATGTGAATGACTGATGAAGTCAAAATTACCTTGGGAGAAGTGAAGGGAGGGGTGGAAAGAGCCAGAGTATTACCCTCCTCCTTCAGTTCCCAAACAGTCCCTGAAGGGATACATAACATTCCAGGGTTCTGAGGAGGATGTAGAAACCACTGGTTCCAGGAAAAAGTGATGGCTGTCACAAGTGGTACCCAAGTCTAGATTCAGGCAAGGAGTCCCACTTCCCTATGATCCAGAGACAAGGCTTTCACCACTACTTGGTGCTCCCATGCAATTTTCTTAATTCTACACAGGAAAGTGCAGCTCCTGACTTTGTACTGTCCTTGGGGCATGTCTGCGTTGGAAGGAACCCTGTAGTGTTCATTTCCATACCCAAGTCCAGTAATACTGAGCAAGTGGCCTCTTCTCTATTCATTGCTCTCAGAATGCCATCTAAGTACAATTCAACACTTCTGATGTGTCTCCAAGCAAGTATTGTATCTCAGATCTATTAGGTATTTGAGCCATAAAAATTCTTTTGGGGATTAATGGGAATAAAAATTAATTGAACTACTTTATTTAGCAATTTGTAAATATCTAATAAAGTTAAAACACCCAGATATTCCCCCCTAGGTTTATGCCTTTAAGAAACTCTCACATGTATGGATAAAAAAATAGTACAAGTGGGCTGGGGATTTAGCTTAGTGGTTCCACCGCCTGCCTTGCAAGTGGAAGGTCCCGAGTTTGATCCCCAGTACCAAAACAAACAAACAAACAAAAAATAGTACAAGAATCCATGTGTGGCAGCGTAACAATGAAAAACTGAAAACAGTCTTAACTGTCTCAGGAGAACAGAATAGCTGTAGGTTACTTGTACAAGGGGTGGTAAAAAATGTAAATACTTAATTTTAAAAAAATTATTACAGTAAAAGACACATTGCTATTAATTCCCCTCAAAATACTCCCTTTCACTTCAAACACTTTTACCCCATCATTCTTACCACTTTCTTGAGGAATTCTAGATCTCTTTTGTGTCTTTATAGGTGTGATCAAAAATACAGTGAATATTGTGCCATGTGCCATTCAAATGGGAAAAGCAAGCTTGTAAGAATATTAAGGTATGTGTCCTCATTCACTTCATTCACTTGATCTGGTACCGTGCAACTTTGGGCTCTTTCCCAAAGTCAAAATACCATGAAAGGTAAATGTTTTGAGTCAGTTCAGGATATCAAGGCAGCCACAACAGCACAATTAAAGAAAGACACTCACAAAAAGAGACTTCCAGAACTGCTTCAGAAAGTGGCAAGAGCAATGGAATAAGTGTGTTCAAAGCAAGGGGCTAGGCATGGTGGTCCATGCCTCTGATCCCAGCACTTAGGAGGGTGAGACAGGAGGATCACTGTGCGTTTGAGGCCAGCTTGGGATACATAGGCCAGCCTGAAATACATAGTGAGACCTTGTCTCAAAAAAAAAGGAAATCTGTTGCGGGGCATGGTGGTTCACACCTGTAATCCCAGCACTTGGGAGGCTGAGGGCTACATAGTGAGTTCAAGGCCAGCCTGGACTACACAGTGAGACTCCATCTCAAAAAACCAAAACAAACAAACAAACCCCCCAAAACAACAACAACAAAAAAACACAACAAAGTAAGGGTGAGTATTTTGAGGGGGATTAATTGTAATGTATCTTTTACTGTAATAAATTTTAAAAAACTTTAAACATAATGTATTTTTTATCATAACCTTTAGGATGGAATTCTACATAGCAGTGAAAATAAATGATGTAGAGTTATACAATACAGATAGAACTCATAAATACAAAGTTAAATAAAACAGTAAAATGTTGCAAGATTTATAGAATGATATATAAAGTTTTTTTATTTGTTTTTTAAAACTTTATTTCAACATAACTATGCTTACAGAAATACACTCATATTGGTCAAGAGAATGCAATTTAACTTACACAATTTCAACCAAAAAGTTGGTACATGGTTTAAGATTTAATTTTTTTTGTTTTAATATTTAATGGTAGAAATAGGTCTTCAATGCATACTTTGCATTTAGACAAATTCTACATTCTCTTAAGGTTTTCTCTTTTATATTATTTGGAGTTATTTGACCTCCAAGTGAACTTAACATATTATCTATGCATTTGATTCTGTATATGCCTTTTTTTAAATGTTTTAAACTAAATTTGAGAAACCATGCATACTGTACACCTTACTTAATCCAAAGAATCGTTTGCACTTTCCAAAAAAAAAAAAGGCTGAACTCAAGCTAAATAATCTGTATGCCCTAAATTTCCCATGTTCCATTTCTGAATAAAGAAATATTTGTCCAGTATTACATATTGCTTGCTAATAAATCAGACTGTCAGAGATGCTTCAGTAAATTACCTCTATTTTAAAATTATATCTCAGGGCCAGGGATTTAGCTCAGTGGTGCCACTGCCTACCTTACAAGTGCAAGGTCCTGAGTCTGATCCCTGGTACCAAAAAAAAATTATATCTTAATCTACTCTCAGAGATGATCTTATCAATATTAAACACTGTGCCATGTGCAGTCTTAGCTCAAACGCTTAAATAAGAACCAAACTTGTAGTTTTTAGACTGTATATTTTAACTTTAAAATTATATGTCTATATATACACATATGGCATGCTGCATATTAAATTATCATTTAGGGTAATTTAAATACATAGTAAACATTCAGGCAAACATTCTTTGAAAGGCTTAGATACCAATGTCTAGACATAGTACTAAGCTTATCAAACTTAAAAACCCAAGAAAATCTGCTGTAATATTAAGAAAAGGAAGAGTTTTAAGTAATTGAATTGTGCAGATACAAAAGAGCTTATTAACATGACAAAATTACCAAAATAAAAACATTTTAAAGGTTATTTGGTTCTAGCAATATTAACTATTCTGTACTTTTGGATAATTTAACATTTTTACTTTAAATTTGTACAAATGCTTCTTTGTCTCTCTCTTTTTTTTGGTACCGGGGATCAAACTCAGGACCTTGCACTTGTGAGGTAGCCATGGTACCGCTGAGCTAAATCCCCAGCCCTAAATTCTTCTCTTTTAACAAGTTAAAAAAGTAACAGGTCAGGCCAGGGATTTAACTCAGTGGTTCTACTGCCTTCCTCACAAGTGCAAGGTCCCGAGTCTGATCCCCAGTACCAAAAAAAAGAAAATAACAAGTTTAAAAAGCACACAAAAATAGTTGAGACTATAATCTTTTTTTTCCACCCAGGTTAGTTCATCACAACTCAACAAAAGAATGTTTAAACACTCAGCTCTATTAAAATGCAATATTTGAATAGATCCCATCATTTCACCCATTGTTTGCTACTCCAGATCCTAAAACAGGCTGCCGACAGATTGGGCAAGTGCAATTCGCTGACAGCCATTGGTCAATACAGGGAATGTGAAATTCGTGCATGCCTAAGCTTGTTTCCAGTTACATAGTCACTGATACAACACTACAAATTTTACCTAGTTCACTGTCAATACCGCTATGCTCGTAGTTCTGAATGGACTGTCCATCTGCTCTTTGGTTAAACCACATATTTGATCATCAACACCTTCATTTAATAAAAAGAAGTGAGCAAGGTAAAGAATAGGTAGTGTTTCACCTTCTACAAAATTGTTTGAATTTTGCAACTGCCTACTACTTCTATTGTCACTGCTTCTTTTCTGAGGTTGGCATTTCAGTGCTGAATTCTCGGGCTTGCCCATGTTGAGAGGAACTTTCACTGTGCTGGCTGCTGTCATCAACTGCACCTAAATTACTCGGGTCTGGCAAAGACTGACCATTTCTCTGAATCTCTCACTCTGACTCAGCCTCCATTAGTGAACTCAGTTCTCCAAACCCAGTCATGATCTGGCTGAAAATTGTCTGAAGAGCCACTGAGGATGGCTCAATAAGCTTATTCTCAGAAATCCTTCGAAGAGGAACTGTTATGGTAGTAATATAGGTTCAAATGGCTATCTGCTCTAAATGAGAAATAGTTCTGTGAAAGCCCCCACTATTGCTTTCAATAGTGACTATTTTCTGCTAGCCCTGCTCTAGATTGGGTTCTATTTGCAACACTATCCTGATCTGTATTTTGTCCAGGACGAATCCTTACTGGAAGGTCCAGTATAATTGTTGGATGCTCTTGTGCAGCAGGGGAGGATGTGTTGGATTCTTCCCCTTCTTCTACTGTTGTTCTTGACACAAGTCTTGAATTAGAGAATTGGGAATATGCAGTGCTTCTGTGTTCTGTATCTGGCTCTAAAAAGACCTGAGTTATCCCTCTTCTCCTCAGATCTAATGGTTTGCCATGAAGGTCTACTTTCCTTGTGGGAATTATAAACAGTGCTACTCTGTCTCTGAATTGGTGGACGGCTTTGGCTACTGAAAATAGACTTATTGGCTCTAATCTTTGGTTTTTATTCCTCACTGTAACATTAGTTCTAGCCCCATTTTCCCAAATATGTGCTACTCCAAATCTCTGCTCCTCCCTTTGCCTGAGTTCACTACTACCTAATTGACTTGTTTGACTACTAAAGTTATTGTGTGAAACACTAGTTCTAGGAACACCAACTCCTCTCTCACTTCCATTTCTTAACTTTCCCAGTGTTGAGAATGATCCATCATTCTGTCTCCTTGAACCAGCCTAGTCGCTGGAATGTTGGAATTACCACCACTGAAATTCACTGAGGTTTTGTTTCTTGTTCTCTTAGTCACAGGACTAGTTGATCTTTGTTGCCTATCTATGGTGTGATCTCTGTTAATATCTGAAAGTGAAATACCCATATCATCTTCCCCACGAATTTCAAATCCTCTATTCTCATGATTTATGTGGATTTCTAGACTAAACTGAAACTCTCCACTGTTTGGGCTTGTTCGACTTACAGATCTTCAAGTTTGGTTCCCATTTTGTCCACTTTGAGTTGCACTGCCAGTAAGATGAAAGGTGTACAGCCATTCTAGTAAAGAATCTTCATCTGGGGCCAGGAATTTAGCTCAGTGGTGTCGCCACCTGCCTCGCAAGTGCAAGGACCCGAGTTTGATCCCCAGTACCAAAAAAAAAAAAGAATCTTCATCTGAACTTTCTCTAGGGACTTCTGAGTCCCTAGAGTCTCTGTTATTTCTCAAGTCAGGGTGAGACACTGCTCCTTCACTCCATCTAACTGTTGTTACTGTTCTTCTGATGTTATTTTCCAAGGGTGCTTAAAAGATTATGGTCTCTCATCAGCCAATAATCTTCATCATTAAGCTCATTAATAAACTGATAATAGGCTTCTTTTCTAAGGAGGTGCTCTTGCTGCTATCTTCTCCCATTTTCATGATGATTACGGTCTTGAGATGAGGTTTCTTCACCACCACTACCTGATCTAGAGCTAGACTGATTCATACTGAGGCTCCTGGCTTCCTTATTTTCCTTTCAACATGCCTCTAACAGATGTAATGGTACCCATCCTTCAGTTGTCTGTGCCTTTTAAAAATTTTTTTTTAAATTTTATTTTATTGGTACATTTTAGGTATACAATATAATGACATTCATTATTGGAAATTTGCACCTTTACATACTCTCTCGGTTCTTTTTTCCC